TAGTAACCACAGCAGAAAATGTTTAGATGATAAATTTAAGTGATCATTGTTGCTGTTAGTTAGGGTTAAAAAATACCAGACTCCGACTGGCCCCTTCCAATCTCTCTCACTCTGCCTCCTTCTCCTTAGACTATTCTTCACTCAGCAATCTTACCTGCTTATTGTCAAAGTATCCATCATTATCATCATCTGGATCGATGATATCTGGTATACCGTCACAATCGTGATCTTGCAAATGGTCAGGCACACCATCGTTGTCCATGTCATCATCCAGACTGTCGGGAACTCCATCCTTATCCAAATCCTGGAAGAAATCATTCGTTCCGTCTCCATCAGAGTCCTGATCGTAGTGGTCTGGTATGCCATCATTATCGTCGTCTTTATCCAGTACATCAGGTATACCATCCTGGAGCGATAATCAGAAAGTGACAACGGATTCACATCTACACAATTACCAGTGAGAGCTAGAAAAAACAACCGTCCACTGAAACTCACCTCAGCGCGAAAAAACAATGAGTTTTGAGATTAGACTACTATCTATTTGCTAGTAGGCAAAAGTGAAAGTGATTCCATGCATTTCAACAGCACTATTCCTAAACACAATGTATAAGGTCAACGCGTCACAAATAAGATGGGATAGCCCAGTAGTAACGTTTACAAATACCTCTCACCGTTCACGGATAACCGCAAAGGATTATTCCTAAAATTGCTCCAACGGCTGTACAGTATAGAGCTTCCAAGGTACTACTTTCTATTGAACGGCCCCTTAAAATTGAGCATTTAAAAGTGAAAAAAGAAGATTTCTGTTTGCTTTGATTAGGTTTTCGAACAGTTGGAAATAAAATTAATCATGGTGAAATTTGTAGAGAACAGCGATGATACTAATTAGAAAAAGAATAACTTTAAATGTCCTTTTTAAATGGCTAAAATCTCTTCACAACAAACATCAAGATGACAGACAGTGACAAAAATAATTCTAATGCTAAGGAAAGCGATTTGAATCAAAAATAAATTGACCTATCTTTTCGAACGGTAGCTGTTTTCACTTGGAGTGCATTTTGTGAACAGCTTTATTACTCCGGGAGGTCTAGTGGCAAACAAGCTCGGTTTCAGTGATTCGCTGACCCGCCAAACGCGGCACAAGTATATCGATGAGAGTGAAAATGTGTTACTAAATAGAGGAATAATCGTGCGAAGGTAGAGAGTATTAAAATATCCATTTACATTAATTAATCACCTCATCTGTTCAGTGTTCAGATATTTGCTACTGATGGTTTCCGGTACACCTGTTTCGTAATGGGACTAAGGAGGAGTGTACTCGAACATTTTAAAGCCCCAAAGATTTGTTTCTGTTTGTTTCTGTTTCAGTCAAATGACCATGTGATAGAGTGCATTTTTGCATTCGTCCAAACCGTGTTGTTTCCATTAATCTTAGACCGATTTTCCAGCATTACGATAGAATTTTGTGAACCAGTGTCCATGCATTTAGATTGTCGTACTCAGAAAAACCCTTAAACGGCCTTAATTTTGCATAATACTGAAAATGGGACCTTCATGCGTGAGTAAACGCATTCGTATTTATTGGATCATCATTCCGTGTGTTTGTGATCGGTTATGTTTTTGAAGTGATTACTGTATAGATTACTACTAAGTTACTTCTTAATCTGGTCTGTTGATTCATCAAAACTTTATTTTGCGTTCCAAAACTCTTCCAGGACGTTCCTCCGTCGGAATAATGATGATCTCCAATACAGATGACACCTGAAAGTCAGCATAAAACCCATTGAAATACAGGCACAATTAACTACTCGTTATGGTTCAAGTTACTCGGTTCGTTACTGATCTCATTTTTTCCATGGATTAAAATCTGCTCGTTTCCTATCTGTATAGGTATACTTACGTTTTGCTGGTAAAACTTATAGACGAATCAGCTCATCTACTTTGTCCATGGATTCTCATTCACGGAAAATTGTCAACCGCAGAAATGTCAGTCTAACAATTATGACTTCTATAACTTGTGCCCTACTGAGATGATTTACGTATTTAACGAGAACAATGGATGTAGACATTGATCACTAGGATCCGGAGAAAACTACCCATCCAATGAGAAACTAGCCGCCGTACTATGAAATTGCTAAAAGAATTACTACGACTGTGGTTTCTCCAACTTTTTCTTTACCATGTAGTTTCACTTTGAAAAATAGTAAGGTAATTATCTCAACCACGCGGAACTCACGTAAACTTGTCGTCTTTTTTATACTAAGTAAGAAAGTCTTAACCCCTAGTATTAGTGGAATTTTAAACCAAAATTGTGATTATTGAAAATGTTTGATAAAATCTCTCCCCTTTCCGAATGAATAAAGAACGCTTCGTCTCGTAGCTATTTCATTGATTTTATTGGCACACAGATTGAAGAGGCTACTTTGATACACCAGTTTGCAACTACTGATAAAGCAGCATATTTTTGTATAACCACACTTAAATTTTAAGATTTTTATCTAAAGTTCATTACTAAGGAATTGAATGCTTGGGACTCGTTGCTTATATTTTTATAAATAAAGTTTAGTGAATCGGTAAACAAAAAATGTTATAACGAGTATTTGTTTACACTCCAAATGTAAAATCCTTTTTTCTGTATGAGAGCTATCCATATTTGTAATATCTAGTTTAACATTATCAAGAATGTGATTAACAATTGTTGCTTTCAGTCAACCAATCAGACAGTAGGTTTGTATTCATACGTGGTCCAATGAAAAATCGCCGCATAGTGTCCCGTGTCAACAGATGATTGGTCTAATCGAAACAATGTAATTCATTTTCTGAGCCTGCTCATCGTTTCATATGAGAAAAACAGGGTAAACAGTCGACAGGGACGAAAACAACCGTCTATCCTGATTCAAACATCAATCAACAAGACACGGGATGAACAGTGAACCCAACGAATGCATTATAACAATGCAGATTGCCAGCTGGGTATAACAGTTCAGATTATTATTGATCAAAAATGGACCAAATTTGAGAATAAATCATGAATACTAATAGGGAGCTGAACTCGCATAATTCCGAACAATTAAGTTTATTGAGGTCTTCAATGTAAATTAATGATCTTTACCCATTTCTGCAGTGCACTGTCTTCTTCTTCGGTGCCAGGTTTAGTCTCGCCCATAGAAATACACACTCATCGGGTTGTAATAGACACCCGTATGGAGAACAGAAGCGGTATTCATCATTTTTGACTTTACGCGAAAGTGTAATCGATCGCAGAAAGTTGACTAGTACTGTGTATGGCATGCATTTTGCAAAGGCGACCATGAACAAGTCGATCAACTCATGATAGTACTAAACATAAAATTGAGAACTCAATATAATGACTCGTTATTAGGCCCTGGATGTCGATAAAGGATGGCACAGACACCTATCGGCGAATTTATGGAGTCACTAAGTCCTTTCATTGCACGTTTTTTAGATCGCATTAAATTGTTTCCGTCAAGTTTATTTAAACTATCTCAAACCGTACTCCTCAAAAATATTTTCCCTGGCAGCTCATTCGGAGAATGAATTACAATACTGACATTAAATGGGGGTGTATAATTGATCCATTTGAAGGACTTAAAAAATAAAGAAAAAGCAAATATTCATTCATATAACACGAACCATCTGACGTTATTTATTGCCCTCAGAAAAAACAATAAACATTTATGAAGAATGCTAACTACCAGAGGTATTAGATTTATTTGAAATTAAGTCCGCATGAAAACGAAGCAAAATCATGGATTGATAACTCACGTTGTCCGAATCTTTGAAGTAGTTAAACGCGGGATGGTCTGGATCATGCAGATCAGGGATTCCATCATTGTCATCATCTGTATCAATGTGATCTGGTATCCCGTCGCCGTCGCTATCCTAAAATATGAAACACAGCAGTAGATGCTTGAGATTAGCTCATCTATCTATCTGTCTATCTATCCATCTATCTCTGTGTTTGTTCTCATATTATCTGTCTGTCTCTGGTCAGAATCTGAGATGGGAATGCACTGAAGAATGTCTTGTCTCTTTGGTTCTATTAGGTCGTCCTACCTGTATTCTTGACCAAAACTGATTAATTTGTCTAATGTTAAGCAATTACGGTTGTTCAATTGCGACGTCGAATATTTATCTTGGTGCAGGATATTTGTTTCATGCAACGACCAAGTTACTTCCTCTTCATTCTTAATTAAATAAAATTATGTTGCAAGCTTTCCAACAACCAAACATTTAGTTATCACTGCGGATACAACAATTCTGGTCGTTCTTCCTACTGGTCGATTCATTGGGATTTGGCCAGTAGTATGTCTGTCGTATGCCCCTCTCCCCGTTGGCCGAGAAACTGCGAACCAGACACATTGAAACATCAAAAGCAACAACTTGATGAACAATGCAAGATTCTTCGGAAACGTCAACAACCTTAGATTCATCCTTACAAACTTTTTGCATTATTCATCGTTTCCATTTCATTGCAAATTTTCTTAAAATAATGCACGATGAGATAAAACGTTTCTTTTCTGGCATTCCTGTAGGCACTTAGTCAAATTCCACCGCAGAACATAAATTCCTGATTTTGATATGGAATTCTGCATCAACTTGATATTCATCTGCTGACGTACCTTCATGATACAATCAGGAATTCCATCACCATTGGAGTCTGGATCCTCACTGTCCGGAATGCCGTCATTGTCATCATCATCGTCCCACTCATTCAGAATTCCATCACGATCGCTATCCTATTCACGGGATAAAACAAACCGTCAAGTTAGGATAGTGCGTATCAACATTTTATGGGAGTCGATGAAGTAAACAGAACATACGCGGGTTCCATTCTCAACAGAAGTGTTAATAAAACTTAGCAGTTGCCAGGTCACATCACATTTTGGTAGCGACTCAGCCAAGATTGCTCTATATCAGCGATTAATCAGAATAAATATCCTTTTTGTGTCTTCTGAGTTTTGCTACTAATGGTTACTCCCGAACCATCACTATCATGGTAGTGCACCGTGTGGAAGATATGCATTTCTCAACAAAACTTAGAAGCAAACACAAGCATCTTGCAACATTGGATAACCATCTAAAGTCACTTGCTGTATAGTCTTAATTTTAGTTCAAAATCAAACAGATGTTTATGCGATTTATAACCTTAAATCTTAACCGATCGTGATTTACGCCAAAATAATTTTCTGGTTGCAACATGAAGAAAAATGTGAAGTATTTATCTTATTATACTCTAAGTGAAGAATCACTTGGTTAAGAAATAAATAATTTAGAACATCAAGGCGTTCTTTATCTTTCCCCTTCCTCTCTGTTAGAATATAATCTAGGCTTTATAATGTTTGATATACACTTTATCTATGTGGAAGAAGAAACTGCACGCGAATCAACATCTTCATTGAGGAAGAAATCACTGAAACCCCGATGAGACTGCAATCCGCCCGCCAACGGTGCATCTGACTCAAACACATTCCGGACCAGTTCACTGCCAGTCTAACTGCACAGTTACAATCTACCGATATCCGTCGGTTCTATTCTGGGTGGATGCTTGACGTCATACGCAATGCATTCGCTACAGGTTGCTCCGTCAAAATTAGGATTGCCTTTGAGCAACAGACTAAAGTTTCACTAATTGACATGTGTGAGCGTACACGCGTAAGGAAAACAAATTCCCGGAACTTCCTATTAATAATATGGTCACTGAAGGCCAGTCTCGAAATATAGAGGAATGCAATGCGACCTAGGCTCAGTTGTGTAATGTGTTCTGTTTAAGGTCACAATGATCTGCATAGAATATTTGTAGTGGGTGGTTGCTTTGCTACCGGTATGGAGCTAAGCTGATCTATAGCGTGCCGATCTATCATCAACAGATCCGTGTATCTGTAGCTGAGGTTTTCCTATTTTTTTTTAACTAGGAGAGTGCAAGCTGTGTACTGTGTTTGTGTGTGTGTATGTGTGATTAGGTATATATGTGAATGAGGTACTATAGGTCAGTTTCACGGTTTGTGTCCATATTTTCTGAACTACGTTGGTTCTCTTCACTCGGAATTGGTTAACCGTACTTTTTACTTATAACCTGTATTGAATGAGTCCGATAAGTTAAAAGCAAAAGCTGAAGTCAATCGGAACTTTAAATAAATCCACCCGTCACCCATTTTTTCAGTTAGTTAGTTAGTCGGTCGGTCGGTCGGTCAGTAATTCAATCAATCGATGAACCAGTCGGCGTTCCAGTGACAGTATCTGGATCCGGTGCTTTCGCTATCTTCCTTTTCTCCATACATACGCTAATTGATCAAAAATTGAAAAACATACGTATGAACTCCAACAACTAACTGTGTACAGAATCTATATAGGATGGAGTTTATTTGTCACTGGTCGGAAAATCCTCAACATTCAAACAATATGGAGAAGAGAATTTTCGTCGATCAAAATTCCAGTTATAACCAACTTTTTGAAGAAGTTCGCTCCACAACTGGCAATACTAGTTTGAATAACCAAACTTTATGTCTACAGTTGCGTACATGTTTCTGATTCACGCAAACGGTCTACTAAATCAGCTTAGGAATTGTTCAAATAGTTGTTTGGAAGATTTGAAGTTTCTATGTCGATTGTGAAAAGTTCAGTAGCCTCGGT